GGGCCACCACGGTCTCGGAGCTAGCTTTTTGCCCCAAAATTTGAGTTGGATAAGAGCCAAAGAGAAACGCAAGATTCCATCAATGAAAGAACGAGGCCCTGATAGATTCCCGGGAGGACCCGGGAATGACAGAGCCAATGGCTCCAGAGCCACGCCTGGCTAAGGCCTCCCCCTGCACACCTGCGAGTGGCTGCAGCAGGTGCCACCTCCAACCCTCACTGTTCCTCACTCCCTCGCTGACTCTCCCGGACGGCCTTGGGCCTTGGTGGCAGGCAGGCCCCTGCCCACCTCTCAGCACCTTCACACCTGGACGTGGGTTTATTTCAGATTTGGGGTGAGTGGAGGCCGTCAGACGGCACAACTTCTTCCCGGCACTCTTAACCCCATTTGGTAGCCCTCGGTTGCCTGAAAAATTAAGATACGAGCAGTTCATTTTATAATCACTGGAAAGACGGTCCATGAACATTCTTAAGTTTATCTCCACCAACCTTACAATCTTGCATTCAATCTCCCGTACGGCCCAGTCCCGTCTGGGAAAGACGTCTTGGAGCGCTGGCGGGGGGAGCTGCCTTCCCGCCGAATTTAGATACGCTGCCGTCATCATCAAGGCAGCTGCGAATGGCTGCTGGGTTTCGGCTTTGCTGGTCCCAGGCCCTGCCGCCTGCCACACGGGCTGCGGGGCTCAGCTCGGTGGGGCCAACGACCCCCGGTGCACGGGAGCCCAGGCGCTAACACAGGAAGGAAGAGACGTCCCTGGGAGTAAGGTCTCAAAGCGGTGACTCAGCACTGCGGCTCGAAAGATCTCCAGAGGACACCAGGGCGTCCCCACTGGCAAGGGGCAGCATCTAGGGCAGGTCCCCATCGCCTATCAAATTCCCCCGTACTGATCGATCCTCGACAGCCTGGCTTTCTTCCCTTTGCCTGACTTTTTTTCACTTGAAGGGAGAGTTAAAAACCAAGGGGTGTCCGAGGGGTCTGTGTGGGGGAAGGCAGGGCGCACGGTGACCACCGAGCGCATACACACAGACACACAGACACACACACGCACACGGGGGGGGGACTCTCATGTGATGTGTGCGACGTGTCTCTCGCGCCCCCCCGCGGCGCCTGTGTGGGGCGCGTGTGGCGTGTGCGTTTTTTTCTTGTTTTTTTTTCGGGGAGTTGATTGTGGGTTTTGGGTTTTTCTTCGGCACCCGGGGGTTCCCCGTGGGGTTCGGGGGTTCCCCGGGGGGTTGTTTTGTTCTTTGGGGGTTTTGGGGTTACCGCAGAGCTCTCGGGGCCATCCCCAACGAGAGCCCTGACCGCCGAGAAGCGACCGGGCCGACGCCACCAGTTCTGAGCGCAACATCGAGGCCAGGGTCAGATGGCTTCAAGCCAAGGACGGCCAAGGCTGACCTCCGGCACACGCCGGGAGACTCTTTCTGAAAGCCAACCCCGCCAGCACCTGGAGCTCAGGTCCCGGCCTCCAGAACCCAGAGACGATAATAAATCCCTGTTGTAAAGCCACCCAGTTTTGTGGTGCTTTTTACGGCACCACCTAGGCCTGCCTCTCTCACACACACACCACATACATGCATGTACACACACGTGTACACACACAACATGCATGCATGTAATACACAGCACACACAGTTAACAGGTTATCTGCCTTTTCATGGAATCACAGGCCCCCTACTGAGTTACCCACTTTTGCACTGTGAATTCGCTAACCGAAAACCACGTAATATTTATACCCTTCCCTCATTTGACCTGCACCTTTAAAACTATCTGAATCTTGAGAGTTGGCTCTCTTCCCTACAAGGATAAAATATCAGCCGAAACGTACCACACAATTAAAAGACAACAGATGTTGCCCTCTGGGAGGGAGCCGAAATGCATCCGAGGTATCTGGCTCGCGTCTGGGGACGGTTCCGCACCAGCAGTGTTTCCACCAGAGAGGATTCTCCCTGCAGACAGGACGGCCCGCCCCGCCACCCCCTCCCCGCCATCTCAGCAAGGCAGCCACCGTCGGGACCGGGACGGAGGGCGTCTGTGCAGTCGTTAGGTCAGAAGAACAGTCCTGCACAGGCATTAATTAGGGCAGGGGGAGCCGAGAAGCCGTCTGCACAGGCAGGTCACACCAGCACGGGAGCAGCAAAATGCCTTTCCCTGGAGGTAGCTGCCCCTTGTCACTCCGGCAGCCGTCAGAGAAGCGGAGGGGGCATCACAGGGCAACACCACCACCGAGAGCAGAAAGCTCGCACCGCTCACTCAAAACCCCGGCCCTCAGCCAGGCGCCAGCCACACCCCCCACCGGCCGCGCCCTCGTGTCCTCGTGGTGACCAGCACAGGTGAGGCTGGGCTGCAGCCTGGGGTGACTGGAGCCTGGGGTGACTCACGGGACAGTCTCCCTGAGTCTCCATTCACGGGACGATGACGACACAGTCAATCACACCCCAAACCCGCAGCACCCCACGCAGAAAGCTTCGCAATTAACCAGCCCAGGTCGTCGGTTCACATCTGCTCTTTCTACAAGCACCGAAATCGCTTTCCAGCTCCGGGCTCCCTGACCTCGAGGGAGAATTTCAGGAGGGCAAGATCGAGGTGGCTTTTCTCACTTGTTTTCTTTCCGAAACAGCCAATTACGGCCGCCTCCTGCCACTGCCACGGAACTCACAGGCCACGTGGACGTGGAGTGGTCTGGTTAAGACAGAAAAAGACGGTGGCACCAGCTCGGTTCCAGGCAGGCGGCTCGGCACCGGTTAGCGCGAGTGCACCCGGCCTGCGAAGGGCCTGGACTCAATTCTTTCAGCACCGGCGGGTCCTGGCGCACACCACTGTGCACCACGGCACCGTCCTGCTGTAAGCTCCCTGCGCCCCGCGGACGGTCCCTTCTACTCCAGTCCCAGGGTGAGAGGACAGCGCCAGGGACAGCTCCTGCAGAGCGTGAGGAAAGATCACGGGAGATCCTATCCCCAACCAGGAGGCCGGGGCACCGGGTCCCACAGAGGGACGAGACAGTCCCACTTTGCAGGTGAAGAAAGGAGTGTCCTTCATGGCACTCACCTATGCTCCTACCCTTAAAAGTAACATATTTTAAAGCCATATATGATACTATGCAATGTCGGCGCTGTAAAATGGATACAATTCTTACTTTCGACGTGTGAGCATTCAAGGGAAATAAAGGCCTCTGTGTTAATCAAAACCTAAGGGCCCATCATGTGTCATAGAGAGACCACAGTTGGGCCCGAATATGACGGAACACACTGTGAGTGCCCAAAGGAAAAACTGCAGAAAGCCACCATAATGACAAAAACATAGCAAGGGGCAAGGATGTCCTGAGTGACATGCGGTCCTTGTTCCTACTCCAGAGAGCCAGGGACACCAGCGCCACCCACACCAGACTCCCGAACCCCAGGGCGAGGGACGCCAGAGCAGCAGCACCCTAACCTGGGGCCCGGCCACGTGCCCTCCCGCAACCCCAGAATGAAATCCAGAGACATCGTGGGGCCTGAAGCCAGATGTGCTTGGAAAAGGAGATCCTTTCCCTTGCAGCTGAGTTAACCTCTACATGACCTCTGCAATAGTTAGCCCTGAGCTGTAAGTGAACAACCCGTGAAAGAGCCTCTGAATCTCCACATGCAATCGAACTGGCTGTGGCTAAAATTCATACTCAGATACAAAGGAACCAAGAAAACCAGCACAGACCAGGGACAGATCTCGGGAAAGGAGCTGGAACGACAACGGGGGAAATGCCACCTTTTCTCGCTTCTCCAAACCATGCAATTTTCTTGCACCCGCCTATATTTCTCATGGGAAAGCCAAGCCCTTAATTTTAACCCTCTAATCCTCCCAAATCATCACTGCAGTACGGATAACCAAAAAAGGGAAGCCTCCCCCTGGTGTGATCACCATGAGGAGCTTGCACGATTACAGAATCCTGCGACACAGTGACCCGGCCCCACGCGCAAAGCCCGCCAGAGAATCCCGAACTTTTCTGGATGGTTCCACGGCATCCGGGACAGAGTTAAATACCAGAACAGGTGTTACGGGAAACATGTGAAGCTGCTCAAGGACTACTGACTGCTAAGAAGACATCTAAGGGACAAAACAGGGTGAAATGTTTAACTTAAAAAAAAGAAAAAAAAAAGATAAAATGAAACAAAACCGATGGCACACAGAACGAGGAGGGAAGGGAACGCTACAGTACAGAGTTGCGCCTCTCCTCTCTCTCCAAAACAAGACAAGCTCCGCCACGAAGGAAGTGCATAGTTACCTGCGTCCATGTCTGCAGAGAATGGAACAGCCAGTAAGAAAAAGAAGGAACCAGAAATTCAGTGTCTCAAAGTTGGATTCAAAAAGGTTACACGGAGAGAAAATATAATACAGAAAATTGCTGGTGAATTACACCTTGATCAGGGGACATAGGGACTTAAATGGCTTCCTACCATCATCGTCACCACCATAATTTTATTTAAAGCAAAAAACAAAACATGAATATGTTTAAACGGAAGAAGTAAATGCCTAATGGCAAAAGAAATATCTTATTCTCATGCAAGATGATTATTAAATGTTTATAATACAATATAAGGGGGAAACATGCTCAAACGTATGGTGGCGGTGAGCTCAAAGAACCATCTGCAACAGCTCTTGCCTATGTATGACTCAGTAACATCACACACGTGTTTATGTCTACGTTCAATATCCAGATCAGAGAAATGTCCGGCCAATATTTAAAGGGCTAACGGTGGATTAAAAAGGGCATTTGAGAGGACAGAACTACTGGATAAGAAATAAATTCAACAGCATTCCATGGTTCTACTCACTCCCAATGCCAAAGCGAATATAATGGGTTTGCTAAAAATACTACAGGAGAGACAATATACTTAAGGATTTTCACTGCCTGGTACGTGTTATCACTTTCTGGACATGTGACTCATCAAAGTGATGATTCGGAACATGCTAAGGAAACGCTCTGCACACTACATTCTTGAGCCCGCAGCGCCTGCCCAACGGCATACCTTCGGGAGACTCCTCCTGCACGTAGGTGCCGGTCAGGTACCGGTGCACCAGCGCCGACTTGCCGCTGGCCAGGTTACCCACAATGCCCTGCAACAGAGAAGCGGACAAGCGTTACGGATGATTAGACGGCTCTCTCCGGCATTCTGCAAACAGAAGTTCAAATGCACAGCCACCCTAAACATAGACATGACCAAGCACTGGCCGGAAGGCCGACAACGAGCTCAGTAAACACTCCTGCTGGGGTGAGAGGGAGTCCGGCACCCTCAGAGAGCATCTCAGGTCCTCACCAGCCTTGGCAGCTGCAAGGGCATCGGGACTGCGGGCATGCACACCTGTTTGGGCATTCACCCAGACGACAAGGGCACGGCTAGCGTGGGGGCCGTGTATGCTGAGTCAGCCGCCAACATTCACCGTGGGCCGCCCCCAGGCTGAGGGAGGCGCCAGGTGAGACGGCACAGGATGGAGGTGCAGAGAAACGTGGGGACAGTGGTGGGAACCTGGCGCGTTGCACCGTGAGAGGCTGTGGCTGGGACAGACGGCGGGCAGGGGCAGAGGAGCAGTGGAGTGGGCTGGAGAGAACTGGTGGGGGTGGGGTGGGGGGTGGCAGGGGCACCCAGATGGGGAGGACAGCAACCTGCCTCTCAGGGACACAGGGTCCTATTCACCTTGTTCCCTACATGCCCAGCCCCGGGGGACGCTCAACAGCACGGGCAGAGTGAGCACGTGAGTGAGGGAACGCCTGGTGCCCGCCCAGCGGGTATGAATGAGACGCTTCACCGCCACGGCGCAGAGCCGGGCTCAGAGCCAGGCTCCGTGGACAGATCCTAAATAAAGCTGTTTCTCCTCCCGATTTGACTCACGTCTTCTTTTACCTTGGGCCTCTATAATCTGAGAACTGCTACCTACTAATTATTCTTTTGCTCAAGGGCACCTGCTGTGTGTCAGCTTCGTGCTGAGAAAATCCACAACAGTACGGCACAGAATTAAATTTTTAATTAAGATTAGAGCTTTCCTTTCCCAAAGAAGAAAATGCTCAGCCATCAAACATTGCTCAGCCTTGCGCCTTCTCTGGGAGCAACATCCCTCCCTTCTGCCGTGTAGACGCGTAGACGGTGGGCGAGGATTTGGCTCGCTGCTCAGAGGGGAGGCGTCGGCCTGGGGACGGGGCGGGAAGGGGTTTTGTTCGGTCTGAACGACCACCTCACAGACCACCTTATATCCATACACGATGAGCACTATTTCACTGGTGGCAGCAAACAGCTGACTGTGAGGAGGAGATAAAATATGGGACCAAAATATGTCCCTTAAGCTGTGAAGCTGGGAACGGACGCTGGACGTCAAGCAAAGAGCAGGGTACGAACCCGGCACAGGCCCGGGGCTCTGGGGGGAACGAGCTGCCCTGAGACCTGCAGAACTGCGTGCTGGGTGGCAGCGGTCGTCGCCACGGACCCCGCGCCATCCTTGCAGGGGCACGGACGGTCAGGGCCCGAGCCCGGCACCTCCGTGTCACGGGACGAAAGGGAGCGTGGCGTCTTCATTCCGGCACCCCACACCCCAGCACGTACCTGCTAAACTGGAGCATAGTTGGAAAGGAAATTGAGGGTTTAAGTAAAAGTCCCAGTTGGGAGTTCAATGGAGACACACACAGGGGGCGTGAGGTGTTGGCGCCCCAGGTCCCCTAAAGGGTAGGATGTCTAAGGCACATTTGCTCTTTCCAACAGATGGACGCGTGGAGCCCGTGCTGCCGGGCACAGCTGCAGCGCCCAGCCCCGGGACCCCCCGCAGCTCCGAAAGCAACTGACTGGCCACGGACAATCGGGCCACAGCTCAACTCCAGAAAACACAAGGATGGCACTGCCACTCTTCGTAAGAAACCAAACACTGAACTTGTTTTTCTCTGATGGGTTCCAGGAGACTGACTGCGAAGTGCTGCATAAAGAGCCCATTGCGGGCGGCCATGACCTCACCCGTCGCCGGCTTGCGAGACAGGGGCTCTGCGGCGCTGACCTAAGGGGCCACCTGTCCCGGGGTGCTGCGCTGGGGGAGACAGTCGCAGCCCTGTGGGCACTCGGGGCTGCCCTGCAGAACAAAGGGGCACTTTCCTCTGACCCCGGCAGTGCTCCCGGCACGCGAGGGACCGGCGGAGGGTGGCGATGAGGATGTGCACGCAGCCTGCGGGCGCCACGCCGGGAGGGTGGCCGGCCCGGGGTCCTGCCGGGGTCCTGCATGTCCATGCACAGGTCAGGGGCTGGGACTCTTCCTCCTAGCGCACTGCAGGGCTGTGACCACCGAGCTGTCCGTGAGCGGAGGTGACCCTGCACAAATGCAAGCGAGCCCGAGACAGTCACGCCTCCAGGACCCACGCTGCCTGTGCATGTGGCCGCCTCTCGCTCCTTTGTGCAGACACTCCAGAAATTAGATGCTTTTGAAACCCTGGCTGAGAAGCTAGTAAGCATCCTCCGTTATGGGCTGGGATGACCCCATGGGCCCTCTCGGAACACACGACACCCTGAGTGGCCAAAACCTGGTCTAGATCGGCAGGTTTGATGCTGGACAGTCGGTCTGCAAGGCTCTGTCAACGGGTGGCCACTGGCCCCACAGGGCTGTCTGAGCTTAAAAAAAAACTTAAATAAAATGTTAAAATTCAGCTCCTCAGTCACACTGGCCACATTGCAGCCCCTGCACAGCCACACGGGGCAGCGGCTGCCATGCCGGGCGGCGCACACAGGAGGTTTCCGCTGCTGAGAACGTTCTCGTGGCAGTGCCGGGGTGGAAGCTCCAGCCCCAGGTCCAGTCCCAGCTCTGCCACTTCCTTGCTGCGGCTCCCCGGGCAAGTTCTTAATGCCACCGAGCCTCAGTTTTCTGTCTGTGAAAGGGGGGGTAATAACGGTCCCTACCTGTGGGGTGGTTTTCAGGGTTAAAGGAGATAATTCTGTAAGACACTCAGAACGTGCCTCCGCACAAAATCGGTGCTTCACAAACATTGTCACCATCCATGAAACACTATTCCTGCCGCTCTATGCCGGACGCAGGACCTGAGTGGCACTCAAGTTGTCCCAACAAGGCATATCTGAAACTGGCAAAGCTCGTGAAAACCGCCCGGTAACAACACTGCCAACCTCATACCATCCACTGGGCGGGTATTTCCTGAAATGTCTCCCGTGGGATCAACACTGCGTGGGCACAGCAGTCACAGCACACACGAGACAGGTGCTGTCCCTAGGCCAGTCTTTCGGGACCCCAAGCTTCTGCAATGGGCAGGGGCACTGACGGGCACTTTGTCTCCCACAAGGAGCCCGTTGGGAGGTGCCACGGGGAAAAGGCAGCAACCTAGGAGGAGGGACTGGGGAGCAGGAAGGAGGGGGGCAGGCACTGGCACCAGCGATCGTGGCGGGGACGGGCCTGCCAGAGGCTGATGGAGACACCGGTGGGGTCCAGCGCCCTCCCCTCTCAGGACACCCCCCACTCATCATCCTGTATCTCCTAAGTCTACAAACATGTCTTCTTCCTGGTGACGAAAGTCCTATATGCTCTCTTCAAAGACCTGAGAGTTCTGTATATCCACCTCAGACGTGAGAAACCTGAGTGGTCCCCAGGCCCTTGTCCCATTCTCTAAGTTGGGGCTGAGGGAAGGAGAAGTCCACGGCCTCCAGGGGCCCGGCTGGGTTGCTGGGAAGACAGACTGCAGCCGTGAACATAAATGTAGGGGACAGAGACGCTGGGACTAAGCAGGACATACCGGAGCCACGTTTCATCAGTATCTGCTGCACAAGAGCTCATCTGCCGTGCTTTCACAGTCAGGGCCCCTCACTCAGCAAAACAGAAAGTAGGTATGCATGCATGTACATATAGAGACATATATGCACACAGACATACACATATACACTGACATATGCACACCCATAAACACATACAGACATGCACATACATACATATTGGCATATGTACATACAGACATATGCACACACACGGACACATGCATACACACATATGGACACATATACACATATGCATACACACATATGGACACATGCACACCACACACATACTGACATGTACACACTCATATGCATACATACCTACGGACATATGCACACACACATAGACCTATGCATACCATACACATACTGACATATGCGCACACACACACACACACATATACAGACAGGCTACACACAGACATGCACACATATAGACATATGCATATACACAGACACATACATACACAAATATAGACATAAACAAATAGAGACACATACATATAGAGACACACAAATATATACATACATAAATAGACATGCATATACATACAGACATATGCACACATGTATAGAGGAATATACACACGTACAGTCATGCATACACAGATACATATATACATATGCATACACACATCCAGAAACATATGTGTATATACACAAATATATTCATACACACCCATACACATGGAGATATAGCCACACATATAGACATATATGCACATAAACAGGCATACACATATAGAGGCATACATATACACACATATAGATATACACAGAGAAAGACATGTACACAAACATATAGACATATGCATACATATACAGACATACACATGAACATATACACAGATATATAGTCTTACACATATACACCCAAATATGCATGTAAAGACACACATACACATGTACATAGAGGGACACACAGATATACATGCATACATATGCACACACACAAATGCCACGTAGCTCATAGAAAGAATATGATTACTGAAGCTGCATCTTCCCTTCCGTCGTAAGGAGGGGTAGCGCAGTCGGGAGGGGCTCCAAGAGGCGGCTGCGCTAGACCACTTTTTACTGACACCAATTTTAAGCTTTAAATAATTTCATTGAAAAGATAAACTTTATAATAAAAGACAAAACTCTTCTTTTAATTTTATGCCAATAATACTCCGTAACAGGTGAACAGTCACTTTTTCAAAGTTCAACGGCTCATTACAGAAACCTTCCATGACATCCTGCACAGGGTGAATAAACCCGTGGCTGTGAGTGAGTGTGTGCGTGTGCATGCGTGTAAGTGAGGGAGCGACAGACACACACACACAGGGAGGACACAGAGGAGGCCGATGGCTCCTGCCCTGCACACGGACACACGCCACCCTGGCTGGGCGGCTGCTGTGGCTGTCACAGACCCTCGGGGCTCCAGCCCCAAACCATCAGCTACACCTGGCCCTTCTTCCCAGGGACAAACCCACAGCCGCACATCACCTGTGGGCCCGGGGGAGGACCAGGCCCAGGAATGCGGGGTTGGTGCTCTTCGTGGTCACATCTGCCCCTTGCAGAGCCCCTCCCTCCCCGAGGGTGGGGGGCGGCGACCGGCAAGGCCGGAAGGAAGCACTCACCACTTTGAGCTCCGGGACAGAGCGACTCAACGTCCATTCCTGGCTGTTCACAAAGGCGTCTGTAAGAGAGGAGGCAAAACGGTCAGACGCCACGGCTCACCGAAAGGCAGAGTGCAAATGTCCCCAACGCGCCATGTTTCCAACCGGAAGGCCACTGGACACGGTGCAGACGAGCCTCCCCCTGTCACTCCCAACTCAGAGGTCACCGTTCACCCACGGTCTCGCAGCTCTGCCAGAGGCTGGCCTGACGCCCCGACTCCACGCCTGGTCTGCCACACGCGCTCCGTCCAGTGACTGTGAACGGCCTGACCACCGTCCCCCGGCTCAGGCCGCAGGCCGTCCTGCTGCCCAGCGTGCATTTTCAGGCCCTCCTCACCGCGCCCGTTCACAAGCGTGGGGTCTTTAAGGAGGCGCCTGGCTTTCCTGGAAGTGACCCTGGTATTAACTTGTGGTTAGTCTTCCTTTCCTTTTTCCCTTCCTTTTTCCCTCCCTCCCTCCCTCCCTCCCTCCCTCTCTCTCTCTGTCTGTCTCTCTGTCTCTCTCTCTCTCTTTCTTTCTTTCTTTCGTAGTCACTTGTCAGAAATCCCACCAAAAAAAGTATGAGAAATGATGATTGGATTCTGAAAATCTAAATGGTCACAATACAAGCAACAATTTAGGGTTTAGAAGACAGACTTGGCACCGGAATTTCACCCTCACAAAGATATTATACGCTGAAGATCCAGCCGGGACAGGGTTTGTCAGCAAGACGGCGGTCCCGGGCACTGTGGGGTCGTGTGCCCCACCTCCACTGACCGGCCCTCCCCAGGGCACCCACCGGTTCAGATGACCCAAACAACCACGGCTCCACTCCCCATCTGATTTTCCACGTCCCCCACGTGCCATTTCCTATCACGAATGAGACCCCACAGTGACACCCATGAGACGCCCTGACGACCACAGGGCAGCCCCGTCAGCACGGGGTGCGGGGCTGTGAAGAGGGCAGCGGACCCCACCCGGGGACAGCAAACGCCTCTTCCAAATGGCATTCCCTTTCCAACACATTTTCCTCGAATGCTGACACTTGTTTACATTATGTCCAAGAAGTAACGTGATTGACAAACCATCTAAAGGTCAAAGGAAAAAGCCGTCACCTTCAAACAGGTGCGTGACACTCAAATCAGGCGTGGGACGCAGGAACGGAAGCCGGCAGCCTGGCTGCGTGGCTCCACCACGCGCGTGACGCAGGAGGACAACAAACGCATCCAGGAGGCCGGGCAGGCTAGGGGACCACAGCCCGCGGGGACACAAAACAGGTGGGTGACCATAGCCCACCAGATGCCACCATGCTGCAATGACCGAGGCAAGGTCTCCGGATGCTGAGGAGGTGAGGCGCCCCAGAGGAGGACGCTCCTGCTGGGGGAAGGGACAGCGGGGTAGGCCAGACCGGCTGGCCTTAGGGAGCTGGGAGTGACACAGGACAATAAAGAAGTCTGGATGATCCTGAAGGGTCAGTTGCAAGCTGCTAGGGAGGGGTGTCCCAGAGCAGAGACGCTGCACTTCTGGGGCACGAAACGAACTCCTGTTCAGCTGCAGAGGCCCATCCACAGGGGCTTGGGAGCAAGATCACGGGTCCTGAGCAGACGGCCGGCAGGCGGCGTCCCCCTGCACTGTCCTCCAAGACGCCCACTCATCACTCCTCCCCACTCCTCCTCGGGGCTGAATGCCGGGGGTACGGGTTAAGTTGTGCCCCTGAACATCCACCCTGTGGCCGGCCGAACCCGCCTAACACGCCACAGACCAAACATCCCCGTGAACAGACGAAGCACAGGCCGCTGCCGGGCACAGGCCGGACACGCAGTAGATGCTCGGTCCATGGTCACAACATCGTTTTCTAACACTAGTGGTAAGCTTGCCAATCAAGTCGCAAACCACTGATCATCCGCCCGCCAACTGCTCTCTAGAGAAAATGGGTATATATGGCCCTTGGGTCTGCAGAGTGAGCCTGCTGGTCCCAGGAAGACTGAAAGGCCAATGACAGTCACCCTCCATAAATGCATGTCCTGACAATGCCCAGCTTCTCAGAAGGTCACCCTGCTGCTGCACTTTTAACAAACGCCAGCCCCGGTGAAGCAAAGCTGGATACATCCACAAACGCAACACTAAACAGGCAATAAAACCGACTGAGGTCTCAGCGTGTGAAGCGGAACCAGCCCCCGGACCCCCAAGCTAACACCAAGTGATGGCAGTAAGGTGTGACCCGGACGTACAGGATCCGAACACACACCTTTTTTAAGGGTGTGGTGGGAGGAAGGCTTATGTGTAAAATGCACACATAGCTTGTCGAGACTGAGAGCATTTCCGGTAAGATTAAAAACGTTAACAGTCGCTGATTTAGGGTTAGGGAGCAAGGTGGCTGAGGACGGGGTGATGAGACATCTTTCCCTTCACTGCTACCTTCTGGTACCTTTTAAATTGTACACCATTTGGCATGTGAGAAATTAAACAATGTAGTTTTGAAAAATGAACCTTAATAGTAAAACAAAGAGGGTAAAGTGTGAATCAAAATGAGGTCAATTCATTAATGCACTGCTGATTTTTAAACATATACCACCGAAAGATGAAGTTTATAACAACAAATATTAAACGTTCGTTGTAAATGAAACAGGGCCCCATTAAACAAAGATGCATGATTGCAGAAACACTGGAAGAAGGTGTCACATCTTTTTACTTTCAAATGCATCCTCAATTGAATGGAATATATTTACGCTTATGGCAACTAGATTAATAAAATAAACGCTTGACTTAATTGGCAAGAGAAGCATTTCATCTTCCACTAGAAAGAATATATCTTAAAAACTCTCACCTCCTCCATCATCGCCCAGTTAGAATGGAAAGCTGCCTCACACACGGGTACGTGAAAAACAACAAATCATTCAGCAACAGACTTACACGCCAGAACAGTCCTCCACCCCACCCTTTCCGTGGGCCAGCACATCACACCACAATGGGGACAGAGTGCCAGGGACCCGGCCTGGCCAGTGCCCTGTTTCATTTCGAGCCCCATGGGGCAGGGACACTTGAAGTGTACACGTGCTTCAGGGAACACCCTGGGCACGTGTGTGAATGTGTGTGTGCCAGTGTGAGCACACAAGCTGTGTGTGTGTGCGTGCGTGCGTGTGGTCCAGGACAGGACCAGCCACGATACAGTATCACAGAAGACGCCCCCATGTCCAGAACGTTTCAGTGTGTCTGATGACGGACCCTGGTGATGCCAACAGTCATCTCCTGAGAGCTCACGGCTGCCAGCCCAGTCACCACCACCACAGCCCTGGAGTGGGCCACTGGGGAGAGGTCCCACCAGCAGTGCCAGATTCCAAATCCCTCCCTCTTTACCTGCTGTGCTTCTCAAAGTGTGCAGGCCCCAGACTCACCTGGGCCACCACGCTGGGCTGGCAACAGGTGAGCGCCGGCCAGGACTCCAGAGACGAGAACCTCGGAATCTGCACTTCTAAGGAGAGCTCCAAAGAATGCCTTTACCCACACCCCATCACTCTATATGCCTTCCGTGTTTCAAAATTTGCTAAGTGCTAAGTGCAAAGGTGCAATCCCGAGAGCAGGAATTTCTCAGGAAATGTGACAAAGGAGCGTGGGTTGTCATCAACAGTGCTGCAGTTATGGAGACTGTAACACGGACCACGGACGTGCGCCCGGCTTCTCTGCCCAGTGTCCACGGGCCCACGGCCCAGGTAGGCCAAGAGCAGGCAGAGGGGACCCATGTGAGGGACCCGGAAGGCAGGAGCCACAGGTTTGACGGTGACCTTGGGTAACTTTCCTGGTCTCTAACACTGAATTTCCTTGCCCCCAAAACTGCAGTCTTTCTCCCCTAGGGATCCCAGGAGGTCTCAAGACAACGCGGCCTGGGGCCTGGGACAGGGCCGGACCACGCACAGGGGCAGCCGTCCTGCTGCCTTTGAGAGCTCTGTTGCTCGACATGAGAGATCGGGGCCAGTGGCTCTAAAGGAAACAGAGTAGCAAGAAATTCAGGATGGGATTCGGGGTTTGGAGAGTCACGATGATGTTCCAGAAGAAGACGACTTAGCTACATTTGAATAAGTGTGGATCGTTGTACCGTACTTTAAAAAAATAACACATCCCCTGAAAATAAGCCCTAGGGTGTCTTCTTGAGGAAAAATAAACATAAGACCCTGTCTTATTCTCGGGGAGACACGGTGAATGAAAGAAAAACACACCTTCCGAAGCCTGTCTTGTTTTTGAAGTGGTAGCGCTTGGACCACGCGGTGGGCTCGCCGTTCTTTGTCCACGGGCTTCACGAGGACCACGTTTCCCCAACGTCTCTCAGTAGGGGTGGGGCTACACTCTCTCCCCCGCTGTCAAGACTCAGAAATGAAAACCGGAAGTGAGACCATGGTGTAACAAGGAAGCGGTGAGGTGTGAGGCTTTGCCAGAAGTGCCAGGGGTCGGCGGACAGTGTTTCGGAGGCCTGCTCCGGGGCGGCTCTCCCGGGGACCTCGGCGTGGGGAGGCGGCCCGTTCGGGGTGTGGGGTCTCACCTGCATTTGAGGGTGAGACTAAAGAGCAAGGCATCTGATGCCCTGGTTCCTGGGTGCTCTGCACCTGCTTGGAGACACGTGGGCACACGCTACCTGAGCTCACTGTGGGGCTGGGGCCACAGGTGACAACGGGACGCAGGCAAGCCTCAAGTATTCAATCACAGACGCCCGAGAAGTCCTGATCAAGCAATCACATCACAGCCACGGAAAATCATAGTTCTGGCTGGGTGTGGAGGCTCACACCTGTAATCCCAGCACTTTAAGAGGCTGGGGTGGGAGGATCCCTTGAGGCCAGGAGTTCTAGACCAGCCTGGGCAACATATCAAGACCCGGTCTCTAAAAAAATAAGAAACATTAGCCAAGTGTGGTAGCCTGTGCCTGTAGTCCCAGCTACTCAGGAGACTGAGGGAGGAGGATGACGTGAGCCCAGGAGTCCAAGGCTGCAGTGAGCTATGCACTCTAGCCGCCCGCACTGCACTCTAACCGGGACAACAGAGCGAGACTGTC